TATCCCTGGTGTGGAACTAAGATCCTTTATGCTGTGTGGTGAGGGGGAGGGAGGGAAAGGCAAACCGAAGATTGGAAAGGAGTTTACAGCACATAACCTGTATTCAGAATATATAGAAGGACTTATATTCAGATGATATATAATAATAAGTTGGGGATAATCCATTAAAATTAGAAAAAGATTTGAGCTGATAACTATATGAATGGCTAATAAGTACACTTTTAAAATGCACAATATTATTAGCCATCAGGGAAACACAAAGTGAAAACACAAGGAAATACTACTACGTAGAGAATGGTGAAAATTGCAGAGCATGTTTGGAGAGGAACTGGAACTGAACCTTTCATACGTTACTAGTGGGAATGTAAAACAATGTGACCACTTTGCAAAATAATTTGACAGTCCTTTTAAAACTAGATGTACAATTACCATATGATCTGGTAATTTGATTTGTAGGTAAATATTTAATGGAAAAGGAGGGAGAGGAGCAGCAAGACATTAATAGGAGTATTGCTGCTGTTTAGTCACTAAGTCGTGGCCAACTCTTTGTGACCCCATGGACTGTAGCCTGCCAAGCTTCTCTGTCCATGGGATTTTCCAGGCAAGATTACTGGAGTGGGCTGCCATGCACTTCTCCAGGGGATCTTTCTGACCCAGAGACTGAGCCTGTGTCTCCTGCTTAGCAGGCAAATTCTTTACCACTGAGCCACCTGGGAAGCCCCAATAGAAGTGTTAAAACCCTGTGTAGAGAGATCTGTCAGTACAGTGGGAGCCTCAGCAATAAAAAGAAATGGTCTACTGAACACGCAATGACAAGTATAAATCTTAACATTATGCGAGCTCAAAGAACTCAAATACAAAAGAGCAAAGCTGTTGACTTCATATGTATGAAAGTTTAGAAAAAGAAAATTTATAGAGATAGAAAGATCTGTGATTGTCCACGTGGGTGGATGGGGGAGTATGTGGTGGTATGGTGGTGATTGTGAGAGTTAGACTGGTATGAGGGGTGCAAGGGAACCTCCTGGGGTGATAGAAGTATTCTATTTCTTGATGGTGATGATCGTTACAGGAATTTCTACATTTACAGAAATCCATAGAACTGTACACTTAAAATGGTTGCATTTTATTTACATAAAAATACATCGGTAAAGTTGATTAAATAATTTATTTTATTAGTTGAGATATATTATCCTGCAAGTTTTATAATACTGAAATGATATTTCTGTTTAAATTACCCCTATACATTTTAATATATATATCTTTTAGTAATTGTTATTTTTCCTTTGTTTTTTCATTTGTTCTCTTTTTTTGTCATTGTTATATTTAAATGGGAAAAAAAGTATTTTGATTTTTCTTATACAGGATTATTGTAAAAAACAAATTCAGATACACTCAGAAATGAAAATTCCTTTTATCTTCTCACCTGTCTTACAGTGTTATTAATAGTTGGAGGTATATTCTTCAGATTTTTTAAAACATATGTAAAACAAATATGTTTATAAATAGAATCATACAGAAGGACTGTTCTGTTAATCATTTCCCTCTGACTTATTTGTATCATTATTTGAACCAAACTACAAGTCCTTAAAATGACAGTTTGGTTTATATGAGGTGTATATTGTTGAGGAGGATACAGTAATTGACTCTTGATATAAAAATGGGCTCTTGATCTCAGTCCTCTTAGTGTCTTGTCAAGGAGTTGGATATGTAAACAGGTAATTATAATACAGGATAATGTACAGTGGTGATAATAGGGAAACAACTTTTTCTAGAAGTATTTGGTATGGAAAAATTGATTCAGATTAGAGGATTGTAGAAGATCCTGTGGATCTGTGCCCTGAGTGGATAAAAAGGATTTGGACAGATAATGGAAGCAAAAAATCATGGAAATTTCACTTTTGGGAACAGTAGACACTTACTGTGTCACAGTTCTGCAGGCTAGGAGTTTGACAACAAGGTTGGCGGAGTTGATTCTTTCTGAGGGCTGCGAGAGAGAATGTCTCCCACGCCTCTTTGTTAGCTTTTGGCAGCTTCAGGTGTTCCTTGGCTTGGAGTTGGTCTCCCTGTGTCCGACTCTCTGCAGCCCCAAGCAGGGCAGCCCACCAGGCTCCTCCGCCCATAGGATTCTCTAGGCAAGAATATAGGAGTGGGTAGCCATTCCCTTCTTCAGGGGACCTTCCTGACCCAGGGATCGAACCCAGGTTTCCTGCATTGCAGTCAAGTTCTTAACCGTCTGCCCATGCTTCTCATTAATCACTCTTATTTAACTGGGTGGTGCTGTCAGTAGGCTGTGATTATAAAGCTGATCAAGAAGCATGATCAGCATGAAGATTCAACTGTCACTGTATCCAATTGGTGAAAAAGAATTTTTTTCTAATGTTTAAAAGTTGGACTCATTTCTTGCCTTATACACAGTTAATTCAAGGTTAATATTCAATATGTACTTTCTTTTTAAAAATTCACCGTTATCTTTGCTTTGTAATTTATTTAAAAAATTTGTGCAATATTTTACACAAAATGAAGAGTATATAAGATATTATGTTTCAATTTAAGAGTAACAAAAAGAGGACATATGATCTATCATGCAGGTTAAAAAACAGAAATTATTGGCATTTTAGAACACTAAGTGTGCCGCACCTCCTGTCCCCATTCCTGTTCCCTGAGGTGCCATGATCCTGACTTAATGTGCTAACAGTCTTTTACTTTTCTTTATAGTTTTATTCTCTCTGGATATCTCCTAGACAACACATTATTTACTTTGAGAAAATGCGTAGTGTACTTGGCTTTAGAGTTAGGAAGGGACAGCATTACCATAGTTAGTAAAAGCTTCTGGGAGACAGGCTGACCAGCCTGACATTGGATTCACTGAACTTACAGAGATTCTACTTAGGTAACCCGTAAGCAGTGTAACGAGTTAGTCCTGGAAACATAAGGCCACCTTGATCAGATATATGGCAGTGCTAGGGTATGGGCTCGGTATTGCAGCCTTCTTCAATAGGTATGTGATCATATGGAAAGAGTGCTATTGTGCCATTGTTTATTTTTGATTTTTGAGCTCTTTGTGGTCTTCCAAAACTTAGGAGTAGATTAAATAAAGCAGAATACATCTGGGAGGTTCTCAGCTGATCAGGTAGCAAGGGAAGGTGGGGTGAGTAAATATATCAAGACAAGCCAAATATAAATAAAAATCTGGAATAGGCTTATGGGCATCCTTTCCTTAGGGACCAGTGTCAGTGGTCATCTTGGTGATGACAGTTTATCCTGTTGTCTCAGGAGTTACTTTGCTACAACTGAATTAGTTGCCCTTCAGATGCAGTGCACAGCAGGCATCCTGGAACCTCTCTGCACAATCCGATCCTCCTAAACACTGCTGTTGCCTCTCTCCCGTATTAGACCTTCTGTATTCTAGGTTATCATCTTTATTAAACTTTTACTTTTTTAGTGGAATATACTCTCCAGTTTCTTCTTGAGAAAAGATGCAGGGAAGGTAAACATTTTGAGATCTTTCATGTCTGAGAGAATATCTTTACTTTTTCATAAGATGGTTTGGGTGCAGAATTCTAGATTGGAAATAATTTTCCTTTATAATTTTGAAGAAATGGTTCCATTGTCATCCATCTTCCTTCCAGTATGACTGTGGAGAAGACTGAAGTCTGAGTCTTGATTCTTTGTATATGACCTGTATTTTCTTTCAAGAATCTTATAGAATCCTCTTTTTGTTCCTTAATTGTGATATTCACAGTGGTGTGCCTCAGTGTCGGTCTCATTCTTTGTTTATACTTAACACTTGGTAGATGTTTTTAAATGGTCACCTCATATCCTTCCATACTAGGAAAATTTCTGAAATTCTTTTATTTCTTTCCAACTTTTTTCTTCCCTGTTTTCTTTTTCTGAAACTCCTGTTATTCAGGAGCTTGGTATTTATCATTGGTCATCTTGGACTGATCCTCTAGTAGTGTTCCCGTTTCTCTCCTCTTTTTTCTCTGGTTCCTGGAAGACTGCCTCAGTTTTATCCTCCGTGCCTCATTTTAGCTATTGTGTTTTTAATTTCTCAGAACTCTTTGTTTTTTAATGTTCTTTATTAAATTGTATTTTGTTCCTGCTTTTTGGATATATCTTCTCTTATTTCTGTGAAGAATGTAAATTTATAAATGTATATGTAAGTAAATGGTATGCTTTGTGTTAGAGGTTTTTGGTTGGATGACTAGTAATACTTGGCTGTCTGCTCATGGTTAAAAGTGGAGGACTAAGAAGCTGATTGGGAACTCTACTTTGGGTACAGAATTGATACTAGTAAATGTGCCTATGTACCTCAAAGATGCTCTTGTTTTTCTCTCTCCAGAAAGTAACTCTCGAATCTTCTGCTGAGGTGGGGAAGGGCCGGTTGCCTAGCATCATGGAGAAGGGAGCAGGTCTAGGAATAAAAGTGCTTTTCAAACAACTTTAATGGAATCTTCCTTGTTTTAACCCCCCTCTTCTTTCTCCACCACCTGCTGCTCCTCTATTTCCAGAAGTAATTGGTATTGCCTTCTGTGGATTCTCCAGTGTAAAGTGTGTTGTGTCTCATTTATTTTTTGCTGCCAGGCTATGATTTGGCTTTCCTCGGTCTGCTAAACCACTTATTATTCATCCATTCACTATCAGTCTTTCAAGATTTTGTTGCTCTTATCTCTTCTTATGAGTTTATGTCTAAAAGTCTTTTATTGCATTTTAGTGGGTTTTCATGAGAGAGTGAAATTATATGCATGTTTTTAATTTGCCATCTTAATCCTAAAGCCCTGACTATTTAAAATAATGTTTAACATATGTCTCACCTTTTGAGACTTGAAAAGATTATTAAAATGAACCCTTTTCATCTCTTGCTTTGGTTTTTACATTCATATTTATAATACATGAAACTCATTTGAACTCCTTGAGACTATATGAACTCAAGGATTTATAAATGAATTCAGAGTTTGTGAATAAAGAAGTTGATTATTTTTTTAAATTTGCTCTTGTAGGAAAGTGGAAAGGTTTCTGAATATCCAGCAGTGATTGTGGAGCCAGTTCCAAGTGCCAGATTAGAGCAGGGCTATGCAGCCCAGGTTCTGGTTTATGATGATGAGACTTATATGATGCAAGATGTGGCAGAAGAACAAGAAGTTGAGACCGAGAATGTGGAAACAGGTAGACATCTCATAAAATGTTCATTATTTTTAACTTTCTCATTTTGTAAGTGTCAACATAACTACTGCCAATTGAATAATATACCGAAAAATCTCTCTTTAATGCTATTTAACATAGCTTGGAAATGAGTGAAACATTTCTTAAGAGAGTTTATATATATAGGAAGTTCTACATAATAATTCTTTGAGGTATAACAATCTCATATCATTGACTCTAAATTACAGACCGATAATAATAAAACTATTTTTGTCATTTTTCCCTGGGAGTGGCAATATTGACTAGTTGTTATTTGTAGAAGTCAGTAGACCAGTATATTATTTTTCTTAATTAAAAAAATAAAGTGTCCTCATTTCATAGCAGATTAGAGTTTATTTTAACCAGTAGCATTAGAGCAGTATCATTTCTTTTTCTCTAGCTCAAAAGCATCTTTGTGGTAGTGTATCAAATTCCTCTTTGCTTTTTTGTCTTCTTAGAAATTTTGGAAAAAAAAAATTTTTTTTTGGTATTTCAGTAAGTCGGTGGTGAGATAACTGTATGTTTAGTTGGGCATTAGTATGTATAATTCTTGGAGAAACCTTTTCATTTTTGCCATTGACCATAAAGAAAAAAGGATTTTTTTACCAGAAAGATTGTAGTGACAATTTTATAAAATAAACATTAAAATTTTTCTTTATTAGTTAATAGGAAAAGAAATCCTTATATTTGGTTTGCAATCCTAATAAAAATTTCTAGTACTTCAGATAAATTTCTTTAAATGTAGCAGAATCTCATGATTAAAAATTTTTTATCTGATGTCTTTCGGCTTGTTGAGGCCCAGTTGTACCCCCTGGGACTATTAGCTTCCTTCAGCTTAAACCTGTTCTTCCTCCACAGTTTTATTTTTTGTTGAGCTGAGGGATTGAAACTTACCTTACTCTTTGGAGGTACAGTGATGACAGCTGTGCTGGCAAACCCCGTGTGCAGTGGTAATCAAGTCATTTTATTAAAACAGATAGCTAAACACTTCATAAAGACTTTGTGGCTATAGTCTGGAGTAGTACTTGATTTACAGTGCAAGTGGCAGGAAGATACTTTTTTTTTTTTTTTTTTGAGAGTTTGGAGAGTTTTCCAGTCTAAAGCTACAAGTTTAGTGGTGGAGATGAATTTTCCTCTTGAGGAAAAGAAGAGCACTTATAAAAGTATTATGCAGGATGATATTTTGAAGTAGATATTGTAACTGATTTTATTATAGGAGCATAGCTAAATAGAACTAATGAAACAAGGAAAGTGTGATAGCTTAAGTTGAATAAAAAAAATAGAACTGATTGAAATTTCTGGGAAATGTTTTGATCAAAAAAAAATAAGAAAAGCCATGATTTTGGTAGTAAATTGGAAGCTTGGAAAAATGAAAATTATAGTGCTAAATTTGTATCAGTAGAAATTTAAATTCACATTAAAATACCAGAGCATGTTCACCAGATCTTACTGGTTATACAGTTAATGGTCAACAGTTCATTAATTTAATATTAATTAATTAATTAATATGGCAAAAAGAATTCCAAATAGGAAGTGGATATAATCCATTTAAGGGATTTTATTTTTTTCTTGAACTCACTGAGGGGTGATGATATAGTTTGCATTACAGAGATAAAAGTGATTATTTATAATTTCGAAAAAGAGGATATATATTGCTTCTTGGCCTTTTGGCTAAGATCAAGTGCGAAAAAGAGCATATACCAAGTCTGGATAAAAGAACTATTACTTTAATGGCATTATGAAAGAAGTTTTTGAATACTTGATAATATTTTTTAGATTTATTTTTCTTCAACACTAAAAGGAAATTTTAATAAATAGCTTACTTTATTCTGAAACAGCCTAAAAGTACTGAGAAGTTCATCTTACATTTTGTTTTTAATTCCATTCTGGCTCATGGATTTTAAAACTCGTTTTACTTCTGAAATCCATATTACTTCTAAAAATATAGAATAGGATAGTGTAGCTATTCTTGGCTTTCTTTACAGAACAACACTGTAAGATATAACGTTCAGATATAACATTTTTAAAAACAATGCCAAATTCAGAATGAAAACTACTGGCTCATACATCTGTAATCAGAACACTCACATTTATTCATCATAAGGCATGCAGAACTTGGAGACTACAATATACTAATTTATTTAAAAATGCCCTGGCTCATGGTAACTTAGTAAGATTGTTAATATACATAGATTAGTTTAAAATCAGTTAATCTGAGCTGATTTTTTCTTGAAGACTAAAATGCATTTTTACATGAGTTAAAATCTAAGTAAATTTTAATTCTCCTGATATCTAGAACCTACACAGATGAATAAAGGTTGTTATGACTTATTGTAATACATGTTTCCTTTTAGTGGATTTGGATCAGGTTCATTTCTTGTGGTGATAATAAATATTTCATTTAAATCTCATATATGTAGGTTTTGGAGAAGAAAATAATTGGGAAGGAAAGGAAAGGAATATTTATAAGATGGCTATGGCAGTTTCTGTTTGGTGAATTGGTAGAAATGAGATCTGTATAGAAAAGAGTGCCTTTTGCCCATCTGGGAAACACTTCTTGGAATGATCCTACATTATCATTTAGATTACATTAGTCCACAAATGTTCATAATTATGTTTATTGATCTGTTATATCAGTTCTCTGTATGTTTTCATTGAAGTTTTTCTTCTTTTATTCCTTTATACCCATACATACATGTCTGTATGAGAAGCAGTATTCATAGTGTCATCCAGGCAGGAGTACTAAAATCATATAATGATGTACATTTAGCTGTCTTCATTATTTTGTGTATAAAATGATTTGTTAGTGATAATTATACGCTGTCTTGCTTCACTTTTTTTATAGACTGAACATCTTCATTTCCCTCACAGAGCTTGTGTGTAATAGTAATCTTCTCTTAAGTTATATAGGAAAACCTAAATATATTTGAAACTTTAAAAAAGCAGACATATTCAGCTAAACCTATAAGTTGCTTTTTGATGATAGCTAAAGTTTAGTAATCATAAGGAACTTTTGTGAAATAGTGACAAAGTATGGATGAAGGGTGGTCTTGACTGTGGCAGACTGAAATACCTTTGCCAGAGGCTGCAGACTCCAGCAGTTCCAGGAGGCTGCTGGGGAGACTGATGTGTTGAGTTGCGGGTGGAGAGGCATCTCTTGGATTCCCTACTAAGATGTGGAAATCAGTTTTTATGTTCACTCTTTAAAAAAATACATATATAAATAATATAAATTTTAAAAGGTTGTTACAGATTACCATGTAAAAAGTAATAAGTTCATACCAATACAATCAATAGTAAGTTTTCTTAGAAAACTTTTAAGACTTGCCTGTAAAGATGGAGCTCTTTAGCACCTGCTTCTTCATTTTGTACCTTAACTTAAACTATATTTATACTCATAACCCTTCAATTTGTGAAAACATATTAGTACATATTTTGTGTTTGCTATGTGCCAGGGCACTGTGTTCAACATGTTTGTTTCCCACAAGGAGGTAGTAATTTATATTTTGTGGAGATAAGATACATATATTATAAAAAAATATAAACCAACATAAAATCAATTGAGCACTATTTATAAATTCAAAGAAATGTTCAGAAGAGGAAAGTTCAATTACAGGATTAGGGAATGTTTTAGAGAAACTAAAGGAGGAAGACAAATGATAGGATTTGGATGAGGTAGCAGGTAGGCGAATGGCATGTAGAATGAGGGAAATATAGTTAACAAATGGGTGGAATGTAGAAATTCAAGATACGTTTAGGAGATACTGAGTAAATGAGATATTAATAGGTTCCATTAGGAATTGTGACTAGTGTGTGATTTGAACTTAAGAGTTGGTAATTAAGCATATAAGAAACGGCAAGATCTGGAGGGTTTTGAGTAGATGCTCATAGATAATTAGTATCTCGGTACATAGAGGATGAACTGTAACGGTGAAGCAGAAAGACCAGCTGTTGTGGTATGAGGCAGGGACGGCTTGGGAAGCGCTGAGACGAGGTGGGAGCAACAGGGGCCTCCTCGGGGGTGCTGACGGTGAAGAGCCCACAGCCCAGTGTGGGGACTGAGAGACCTGGGTTCAGCTCCTGGTTCAGGAGATCCCCTTGAGGAGAAAGGGCACTCCACTCCAGTATTCTTGCCGAGAGAATCCCGTGGACTGCAGAGAGTTGGACACGACTGAGCGTCCAAGCCCGTGCACAGAAGCAGTAGGAGCAGAAGGGGCTTATATGAGCAGTACTACCATGTAAGATCTAATAAGGCTTGGCATGATAGATTATGAGAAGAAACAGAATTAGTTAAGATATTACTCAGTTTTTTTACCTTAATAATGATGAAAGTATCATAAAGGAGTTTGGGGAAAGCACATAAGTTTGACAATAAGCATGTTGATTTTGATTTGAAGCAGGGCATCTGAGGGGATATATTTAGGTATTTAAAAAGACATGTAAATGTATGGTCAGTATCCCAGTCACAAAAGAGAGGGCATATTCAAATTGGGATAATTTAAAGAATGGATAGTTACAAATAGTTACAAATATGTCAGCGAGTATAGGGTGACCATAAGTATTAGCGTGGTACTCATGAGCTAGCAATAATAGAGTTATTGCTGTCCTTTGGCTCAAGGGCCAGAGGGAAGGGTTACTGGGACCCAGAAGAAGAGAACCCTGGAGAGAGGGCTACCTTGAGAGGATCTGGAACCTTTGGTCAAAGGACATAGCTGACTTGAGGGCAGTGCCACCTAGAAGGAGCCCAGGGAAGTCAGCCTCCTGGGACAGAACAGAGAGGAGGGTGGGGAGTAGATCCGCAGAGCACATGGAAGACTTCCCTAGTGCAACTGAAGCTTAGTACAGCGAGTTCAAGGAGACTAATTGGAGCATCATCCTCATTGAAACCACTGAAATAAATGAAAGCACCACGGGGAGAGGAATTTGAAAGATCTCCTCAGGACAAGATTTTAAATTCTATATTTGTCACTCTGTGCTGGAGAACA